CCCCTCATGTCCTCCGTGCTGCAAAACCAGAGGGAAGGGCTGAAGGCTGGCTCAGACAGAGGACTCGCACGGGGCACGGCGAACACCTCGAGCCCTGACCCCGGGCTATTTATAGACATTCCTGCGGCCAAAATAAGTGCCGTCGGCATGCAGAAGGCATCCCCGCCATCCACCGAGACCACTCTGCGGCCCCCACGGGGTCCCAGCACCAGTGTTGCAACAGGGTGGGACAAAACCCACTTTGGTGAGCTGGTCACGAAAGCTCCTCCCGAGCCCAAACACGCCAGGCGGGCGAATTCACCACGCTCGAGCAGAAAGGCGTTTGTCCAAAGGGAACGGAGAGCTGGTTTGCACGGAGCGGAACACGGGCTCTGCACTGCTAACAATCACACCTCGTCCCCTCTGAAGAGAAGGTAGATTTAATTGCTGTTTATCAATCACGAGTTGATTCCCCCCCCCAGTGATACACCACACCCCATTCTGGAAGGCATGAGAAAGGATATTCCTTGCACAATTTTACAGCCTACTAACTGCCCGCGTTCTCAACGAGCGTGAAGCTCTCCAGGCCTATTTGCAAAGCTCCTGTGTTGCAAGAAAAGCGAAAAAAAACAATCGGGCAGCCACACTGTAAAGTCCATTCTCCAAATCTAATCATTCTTGTGGCTCTCCTTTGAAATCTCTCCAGTAGTTCTACAACCTTACTGAAATATTGAAATACGGTCTCCTGGCCCGATCACGGCTGGCCACAACCCAGCCGAGCCTCCACCTCCCCTCCGTAAAGCTGGCCCGCAGATGTTTCACCAGCAGCTTTCCAACACCCAGTTCATTGCCCTTGCTCTGCTCGGTATTTCCCTGGCAGGACAAAGACGGCGAAAGAAAAGCAAACAGCCCAGTCGGGCACCCTTTGCATTCCTCTGGCTCCCTGACCACGGCGCTCGCTGCATGGCAAAGGCGAGAGGCGCTCCGAAACCCACAGCACACGGCCTGGCGAGGGGTTTTCCGCAGCTGC